TTCTCAGGAAGTAGAATTTCTCAGGTTTAAGGTGAGGGTCACTTAATAAAAGCTGAGGTTCCCTCAGGGGGAATGGTCAAGTGTTGACCAGGGCACTGTGGGCCCTTCCACATGTGTCGATGACTCTGCCAGAATGTGAAACCAGAGCCACGAAATTACCAATGCCTCCTTCTGTTTGCATTTCATCTATTCACTCACGATGCAGCCTTTACAAAACCAACAAAAACATGAATAAGTTAATTTGATTCAGCAATGATTTACTGTCTTTCATTCTGTTTTCTCAGTAGAAAATATATTGCCTTTGAGAATTGGGGACAACTGAACATATTTAAAACCAAAGAAAATTATATGAGAAGTCAGCCCTTTCTTCCCCAAAAAAATTTTTAATGTTTATTTTTGAGAGAGAGAGGGAGGGGCGGAGAATCCAAAGTGGGCTCTGCACCGACAGTAGTGAGCCCAATCTCACCTACGGTGAGATCATGACCTGAGCGGTTGGCCAAAGGACTGAGTCACCCAGACCCCCTAGAGTCAGCCCTTGCTTATTCACTATGGGCTTACCTCATTACAACCCTCCAAATCTACCTCTATTTTGTCTTGTATAAAATGGTTTTTTTTTTAATTTATTTATTTTGAGAGAGAGAGAGAGAGAGAGAGAGAGAGAGACTGAGTGGGGGAGGGGCAAAGAGAGAGGGGGACAAAGGACCCTAGGCAGGCTTTGGGCTGTCAGCTCAGAGCCAGATGCAGGGCTCTAACTCATGAACCATGAGATCATGACCTGAGCCAAAATCACTAGCCGGACACTTAACCGATTGAGCCACCTATGTACCCCTAAAATGGGGTTTAAACTTAATCTAATATCTTTGAAGAAGTGTTATACTGAAGTGCTGTGTGAGATTTTATTTTTGAGATTTTATTTTAGATCTTAGTTACAGTTGGTTATTTTATAATTAAGAATAATATTGCTATATAACTAATAATAAATAATTCCACTCTAGCTACATAAAACACACACATACACACACTTGCATATATTTTACATATATTTTTTAATTTAGTTCATGTAGATTGAAATTTACATTGTCATTTACAATAAGTCATAATTATTATGATTTTTAAAAATATTGCTACCTGATAGATAATGGAAACATTTTAATCTCATACACACATATTTTACTATGACCCTGTAGAATTAATTTGACAGATTATAATTGCAATTCTGATTGGATATCTGTTAATATCTATCTTTAGAATGAGAGCATTTTCATCCGCAGCCTCCTCATTCCTACTTTTCAGTTCTTGTGCTGGCAGCTCAGTCTCTGAGAATCAGAGACCAGAGGCATTTTACCCTTCCAGAAACATTTTCTGACCCTTGCATTATTGCTCAGCTCCTTTCACTAAAATATGAAGAGGTCACATTCTATGTGAAGGATAGCATTCCTCAAAACTCACAAAATTTAAGACCCATTCCTATGGGATATTTATATTTTAACACAGCCTGGTCGGGTTGAGCTGGGGGAAAAATGGCAAAAATAGGCTCATGTTATTTAGGTACAATGTAACTTTTTTTTTTTTTAAAGAAAACAACACAAGCTTATATAAAGTTTGCTGCTATATCTAACCTATGGTATCTTGCTTTATAAGGTTTCTCCACAGCTGGAACAGACTAGCTGTGTATCAAACAATTTGCATTTAAACGTGATAATCAGGAAAAAGAGATTCTTTAAAATATAAAACTCAGATTAAGAATAAATTGTACATGCAAATGCGCTGATTTGGATGCAGAGGGATGGGTTCTAACAGTGGGGCAACTATAGAAATTAAGGCTACGCTTTCCCTGAGTGCCCAGTAACGTCAAATTGCAATTGAACACCTATGGAAATAAATGTGACATCCAAATGGTTACCAAATGAATATATTATGCTCTGTGATGTTTCACTGAATTCTAAATGAGTTCAGAATGATGACATACCAAGAGGTGCTGAAGTACTTCAGACACACTCAGTCAAATGCATGTGGTTAAATAAAACTCTGTGGAATGTTCCTTATATAAAATGAGTTTTTCCTATTCAGAAGGAAAGTAGAGCAATTTATTTTTTTCTTACACAGTCTCATCATAAGTAGGAGTTGACTTTAATAAGCTTGCTTTGGTTTTAAAGAAAACTCTTGCAGTTTGAAAGTTTCTTTGCAATGTTTTCCATCTTTAATGTGCTAAACTTGCAATCTTGCTTTTAGTGTGTCCTGTAGCATTTATGAGGCTACATTTTGTGTTTAGTATGAAAAAGCAGTAATGACCCGGAGAAGTGGACTAATGGGCAGGATAGTTTATGCTTCGAAAAGGCTTTCCGGTAAACTGGGGGTGTTAAGATGTTCTAATCAAATATTCTGATTACTTTTTTTTTTTTTTGACCATACTTATATGCAAAATATTACATGTTATAGATTTAGGTTATATTGAAAATGTACCTACATTTAAAGTTTCTATTCCTTCTGATATGTGTAAATTAATGATTACGGAGCAAATTTCAAAAACTAAACTCATAAAGAGTTGCCCCTCTGAGGATGATTTCCCTGGGGTGCATTCCAGCAATTGTTTGAAGGAGCAGATGTCTCACTGTGAGTTACAACTCAATCCGTGCGATGACCAAATCATAACACAGAGCAGACTCAGGTAAGAAAGCGTCAAGGAATCTGGAATGGGAGCTCACTCCTGGGGTAGGAGGAGAGAAAGAGAAAAAGGAACCTAGGAAACAGGAAATGTCTCCTAAACCCTTCTTGGGTCTCCCCATATTTTCACCAAGGAATCAAATCCAGGAAATTCATAAAATATTGCAAATTCTGATTCTGCCAATCACTTGCTTTGAGGCCTCGACAAGGTCATGTAACCTGGGTTTTGGTTTTCAAGCTGTAAAAGGGATTAAGTGTGAATTGTTGGGTAATTGCAGGCTTAGCAAAAACATTTATAGAAGGTAGTAAACACAAGAATTCCTTGATCTGTTAATCAAGTTGTTGTAACTGTCACTTAGCCAGGTCTCCTAAGGGCCCAGTATCCCAGGATCTGGCTGTCCAGACCTACTCCACAATACAGATGCCTTGAATCAGGATTCTTCCTATCCTTGAAACCCTCCCATATTCCTCCATCATCCCATTTTATACTGTCCCTCACTTCATCCCCAGTGGATTAGCCACTGGTGTTTCCATTCCTCCTATAGTTGAGTTCTTTGCCTCAGGGTCTTTATACCAGCTGCATCCTTGACTTTCAAATGAGTGATCTCTTCTTGTGTTCGTAGCTTACATACCTCCCCCTCTGTTAGGATGTCCCGAGTGAGCATCCAATCTAATTATAAAATTATAAAAATCTTTCCTAGCAAATCACCCAATTTTAATTTTCCTCCAGCAATTATCACTGACTTGTATTTTCTTGTTTGTTGTATTGATTGTTTCTCCCTGGTTAGTCTTCACTTCTGTATCTTCTCTATCTATTCAGGTGCTCTGGCCTACTAAGTGCTCAGTAAATATTTTCTAGGTGAATTAATTTCTAGTGCAAGCTGGCTGTGGTGTTACATTTGCATTGTCTAAGTTGTGGGAAAGTCTCCCTCCTCTGGTCAAACATGAATCTCCCACCGCTGAGATTGGGAGGTTCAGATTTCTTCAGGACGTTCTGAGGACATTTTTCTCTCAACTGAGAGTTGAATGCTAACTACTTCTCCTCCTCCTCCTCCTCCTCTTCCTCCTCCTGCTCTTGCTTAGTTTGTTGAGAGACCAAAGTTTTCTCCACTCAGACTCAGTGTAGAATGGAGGCAGCTTGAGATTCTAGTCAACAAGGAATAAATTAAAAATGTGATGCTTGTGTATTCAGATTTCTGTATAGGACTCTTAACAAAAGTTTTGAATAAGAAATTACCTCATGTCTACCGAGAAGGAGCACCACTGGATAAAAAGAGAAAAATAAGTTTCATCAGACTTGTATGAACTCTTTCTTCTTCAAAGGACACAGGGAAGCTGCCCAGAGGGACTACTAATCCCGTCAGCAGGCCCAAGACATGCTGGCTGATGGTGCCCTCAATGTGGCAGTGGAAATCTGCTGGGATTCTAAAACTTAGCAAGGCTTGAGGGGAGCTATGTACCTGGAACAAGTGTTTTATTTTATTCTCTAAATGTCCTATTTTTTGGCTTCAAAAAACATCTGATTCAAATATTCTTATACCATTAATTCCTCATATTGAACATAAATGAAGAAGTATCCAATATCCTCTAATGAGAACAGCAATTTATTCTCCACCTTTCCCTTTAATAAAACCAAAGGGGTCCCATGTGAACCTGAGGTCCTGCCCTGAGATCCCTCTGAATCTGTCCATTATGCAGGCACCCTCCTTAAAGACTTTGTGTTCCAATGAATAAGACTCTGTTCCTCTTCTCTTCTATGCTCTTTCTCTCCGCCTCCTGCCTTAAAAAATTTTTTTTAATGTTTTTTTTTTTTTTTATTCTTGAGAGAGAGACAGAGAAACAGAGAGTGGGGGGAGAGACAGAGAAAGAGGGAGACACAGAATCTGAAGCAGGCTCCAGGCTTGAGCTGTCAGCACAGAGCCCGAGACAGGGCGTGAAGTCATGAACAGGAGATCATGACCTGAGCTGAAATCCTGAGTTGAAATCCACCCAAGTGCCCCTCCTTCTCCCCTTTTGGTATTTAAGTCTTGTTTACCTCTGAATGTGCTTCTTCTGCTGAGGAATGTGGAGACCTGATAACTTCCTAAGTATCATGGAACTGGAACATTTCTCCACAACCTTTCCTCAGTAGTACATCACCTCCCTGTCCCCCCTCTCTCTCTTTCTCTCTTTTTGTTTTTTGCTTTTTAGTTCAGGGGCTGACAGTTAAATCCTTGAGAAGTTCCACTTTCTTCCAGAACCACTTTCTGAGCCCTTGTTTTATCTGCTCAGCTGCCAACTCCCACCACTACTGTATAGCCACATTCTATGGAGGAAGAACATTCCTCAAAACTCACCTGCTAAAGAAGAAAATTGAACTGAAGAAGATGAAGACAGAAGCTGATTGCTTCCAACCCTGTTTCCAGCAATAGGAGAGACAGCAAGACCAATTCTGAATACCAGCTCCACTGAAACAAAGGGCAGGAGTTTTTAAGAGCTGGGGTGAAGGAATGCAGGCCATCTGTGTTTGCTAGTTGACCTTAGCCAAAGGAAAAGTCAACTTTCTCCTATCTTCATGACAAGGGGTAGTGTCACAACTTGAAGGAAGATGTCCACCAAAGTTAATATCCTACTTTCCATAGAGACTGGGAGATCAGAGTGCAATCTTCCATGATGATTACATTTCAAAGGAATGACTCTCAGGTCCTTGAGGAAGACATTCCTGGTTGTAAAACTGACAAGAGGCTTTTAAAAACCAGTTACTTCTAGAGACTGCAGTTATAATTACAAGATTTCTCAAGTAAATGCTCTAAGAAAAGGGAGGTCAGGGGCCTGGATTCTAAAGTTAAGTCAAACTGAGGGGAATGTTAAGAGACCAAACATGTTTTAATTCCCCTTAAGACTAAACTTAGGGGCACTTTATAATGAGTGGTTCATCTTACAATCATGTTTCCAACAATTTGCTTACATATTCCCTATTTTTCTTGCCTGGGATGTGATTCTGGCTATCTTAAAAGTGTGCCTGCCTTGATAGTATATTTATTTTCTCAGCTTTATTCTCTAAAATATCACAGAATACAATTTTCCAAGTTAATAGCACAGTGAGTCGTGCTGGCTCTTTGGCTATCCTCATTATGTTTTCTTTTCTTTTGTTTTTTTAATATTAACTTGCATTCCAAAGTTATTGATTTTAAGCTTGACGAATGCTTACATGATATTATTAGAATTAAAAAAGATTATGTTATTTCATGTTAAAATAATAGCACAGCGGTAACCAAAATCATCTGTAAAAATTCCTATGTGTATAAACAACAGCTTGGATCACAAGACACTGTAAAAGTTTAGAAGTGGGTATTTCTGTTTAGCAGCAAAAGTGCTACCTCCACGGGAGGCATAGGTTTCAGCAGACTTGATAATCCATGTGGGTTGCCAATTTTGCAAATTTAACATTATCGACTAACGTTAAAATTATTTGAGGTTTCCGTTATTTCAAACTTTCTCATGAAATGCGTTAAAAGTAATTTATAGCAAAGTGTGGGCTGTATTTTAATTTTCAAATAGCATACTTGTACTTTTGTTACAGGTGGACACAATCTTAGCCAGTTACATTTTCAAAGAGCAGAAAATCATTCTAATGGCTAGGGGTCAAGTACGTGAATGCTTGACATTATGTGCTCTCAGTGGTTTATAATAATTATCTGAGCCATCTTTGCAGGCATCAGTGTGCTAACAATGCCGATACTTGGCCATTAGCTGGGGATGTCACTGTCTTTGTTTGCCTGCCAAATGTATGGTAGAGAAGTTCTCGCTTTAGATGGTGGTTAAACCTCTTCTTTAATGTTCCATTATTTCCAAGTTTGTGGCCACTATTTTATTTCATATGGCATTTTAACGAAATTATTGAATTAAAGTTGTGAGTCATCATGTTGCATGCTCACTATTTAGTGAAGGTTTGGTATGACTTGAATGATTTCGGTGTTGTTGAATCGATCTATCAGGTTCCCTTAGCACAAGAGGTTACACTTGATGTTATACTTTTCTATAACAGCAGTTACAGGAAATAGTGGAGCCATGGACTTGATAAAATATATATAAAGGAAATGAACAACGTCTGCTCTGCACTAAGTTTGTGGTAAAATGGTAGTGCTCTGAACTTATGAACTGTATGGGATTGCTTTACACTCTTAATTTCAATTAAAATTCACAGGAATTATGAAGTAACTATATTGGCATTTAGTATATTAAAAAAATGAGTGGCAACCGAAGAAAATAAAACACGGAAAATATTAGCAGACTGTTTAATGCTTAGAAATTTTTAGATAGTGGTAGAAATTAATGTAAGAGCAGTTGAATTTCTTGTTATTAGAAATGGCTTTAGGGGCGCCTGGGTGGCTCAGTCACTTAAGCGTCTGACTTCAGCTCAGGTCATGATCTCCCGGTTGCAAGTTCAAGGGCCCATGGGGCTCTCTGCTGTCAGCCTGCTTCAAATCCTCTGCCCTTCTCTGTCTTTCCCCTTCTCTCTCACAAAAAATAAATAAACATTAAAAAAAATAGAAATGGCTTTATTTATCATCGCTTCCATTTACGGCAAGGTTATCATTTAAAAATAAAGTTTATTACTATCAAAATATTAAGAATTCACTTCAGCTAAGGTTAGGATCAGGTTAGGGTTAACTATTGAAGCTGACACCCTAGATTTGCTTCCTCCTGGTGATGTGACATTTGGAAGGACAATGTAGCAGTGTATAAAGCTCTACTCTTTCACATATAAAGTACGAATTAACCACATGCGCTTGGTTTCTCAAAGTGGGGTATGAAGGTGCCCCCTCCATCTCCTTCACACACCCCCTCCTCAACTCCCCTATTGCAGAAAGGACTCTGGCTCTTCATGAGAAAATTAAAAAAAATTTTAAATTGATACAGATACCTACAAAATAATGCAAGCATATTCTGAATCACCTGAATGAGCATGCTATAACTGAGCACAGTTAGATCATTTCAGACCTCACATCTGTTTTATTACTTTTTATTATGGTCAAAAACACATAACATAAAATATACAGGTGTAAGGTACGGTAGTGTTAACTATATGCACATGGTGCAGCATTTCTAGAACTTTTTCATCTTGCAAAACTGAAACCCTGTGTCCATTGAGCAACTCCCCTTCTGTTCCTTCCTCCCAGGTCCTGGTAACCAGGGTTCTACTTGCTGTGTCTGTGAGTTTGACTCTCGATAGCTCATAGCAGTGGAATCAGGCAGTATTTGTGTTTTTGTGACTGGCTGACTTCACTCACCATACAAATGCCCTCAAGTTTCATCCAGGTTCTAGCATGTTGACTTTTTTTTTTTAAGTTTGATGATTTTTCTCCTTGGCCAGGTCTGTTGTTAATTCCTTTCAGTGAACTTTTCAGTTCAGTTACTGAATTTTTCAGCTCTAGACTTCTGTTTCATTCTTTTCTACAGTTTCTATTTCTTTGAAGGTATTCTCATTTTGTATATGCATTCTTTTACTGATTTCATTTAGCTGTCTACTTGTGTTGTTGTACTTGAGCTTCTTTAAAATGGTTATTTTAAGTTCTTTTTGAGGTAATTTATAGATCTCAGTTTTCTTTAGGGGATTTAGTTTGTTTCTTTGATTGGAACATGTTCCTTTTTTCCTTACATGCGTTGTTATTTTTGTTATTGTTGTGAATTTTGCAGTCGGAAAAAAAAGACACTTCTCGTACTTATGGACTGGCCTCAGACAGAGGAAAACTCTCACCAATCAGTGTGGCTACAGATTCTGGGGACCTCTCAAACCTTTTATGGCTACGTGTCCTCACTGCACTTGTTTTAGGATTTTCCACAGGAGGGATTTGCTGGTTTCTTTTTTAGGCGTTTGTGGCCTCTTGCTCCCTCTGGTGTCGCTCTGTGGTACTGCAGTTCCTCCAGTGCATCAAGCTGCTGAAGGCTCTTCTGTTCTCCTTGACCCCCACATTTCCAGCTACGCTGATTTCATCAGTGCTCTGAGTCAGAAACCAGTCCTTAGGACAGTCCTCTCTGTCCCCCTCCCCCACCAAAAGCTGAAATGCTAGACCCCCAGTCCACTCTTCTCCTTCCCTCCTTGGGAAGGAGAGTGTGGTTTTTCCTCCTATCTACAGCTGTGACAGCTTAGGGATAGTTGACATGAAATGGCTTTTCCTGCCCATTTCAGTGTGACTGGTCTTGGCTTTGAGCTTGCTTAGAATACTGCAACTTCCTAACTGGTTTCTGGAGTTGTAAAGTCTTCTTGGACTGTATATTGTTGTTGAGTTGGTATTTCTGTTGGAGAATGAGGTCAAGGGCTTCCTATTCTGCTAAATTATTGATGTCACCTCCCCGTATCTGCTTCTGTATTTAAGATCAAAACTGGTTCTAAGTGGTAAGGTCTATAATCCCTTACCTGAAACCCTTGAGGCCAGATGTTTTTCATATTTTTAGCGTTGAGAAAGGTAATGCAGTGCCGTGTAATTTCCCCAGAGAGTGTGGAGCAGGACCGTGAAATCCACACACTCACATTTCTACAGTGACAAATTTGCATATTCGAGTAAGTGGAAGATAAAGACTATAAATACTCTCTTCTTGTTGGGTCAGGTCAGATTTTGCCATCACATGAATTATCATCATTTGGTTTTCAAATCATTTCAAGAGTGGAAAGTGAGGATAATGATTGTAAACCAGTGGTACTTTGTTTTCACTGGCAAATGGGAAAAGAATTGAGTGATCGTGGGGTGCCTGGGTGGCTGAGTTGGTTAAGCATCTGACTTTGGCTCAGGTTATGATCTCGTGGTTTGTGAGTTCGAGTCCCACATCAGGCTCTGTGCTGACAGCTCAGAGCCTGGAACCTGCTTTGGATTCTGTGTCTCCCTCTCTCTCTGCCCCTGCCCCACTCGTGCTCTGTCTCTATCTCTGTCTCTGTCTCTCTCTCAAAAATAAATAAATATTTAAAAAAAAAGAACTGAGCAATCTTAATATACAAATGACCTGTGCACTCAGTGATGGTGTTAATGATAGAGAGTGTATGTTGCTCATTGATTTATTGCCTCTACACTCTAAATTAATCCTTTTTGTCTGATCTGTGAAAATAGACAGGGGCCCTTTAAATATTTTTCCTTTGCCAGCTGGCACTGAATTTTTGCCAGTCGATGGTGCATACTTGCCTCAGTTCCTACTTGCCTGGTTCCTACCCTGCAGGGCGGCCAGCAGCTTCCCCTTGGCACCATTGTAGGAAGTTTTACAGCAGAATGGGTCTGGTAAGAGGTCTCCTCGGGAACAGCTTTACCTGGCATCCTAAAGGACACAGTTCCAGCAAGTTCTACCAGTGCAGTTCTACAGTTACTTCTGTGCTATAAAGTGAGCTGCAGCTGAGGGTTCTGTCATTTCTTGAGAACAAGGAACACACTCTGCAGCCCAGAGTCCAACAGTGGGCAGAACGAGATTCTCAGAATAATAGTTTGATAGGAAATTGGAATGGGCGGTCGGAACATTGGTTGTC